TACTGGCTGCCTGTGTGATTGTAAACACAGACTCCATGCCAGAAAAGCATATGTAAGCATATATAAGCATTGGTCTGAGCTCAGAAGCAGGTGTTTGTGGATGTGATTTCAGTAAGTGCTTTATATAATTGCTATAATTACTACTATCAAAATGGCCACAAGAAAGCTAGAAAAATGCTAATGAAAGAAAGGAAGGTAAAAAAAAAAAAAAAGCAATCACAATCAAAAAGAAGAAAATTGTGGAGAAATATGAGAGTGACATCTGTGTGCTAATATGTACAAAATGTTGAAATCCACCATCTCCACAATCTTACAGAGAAAAGATTTGTATAAAGAAGCTAAAAGTATTACTCAAATTAATAAGTAATGATCAACAGTGTTGGATGAGGTAGAAAGGCTATTGTTAGTGTAGATTAAAGAAAGGCAGCTGGTAAATTCAAGCCTATTTGAGTCTATAATTTGTGAAAAAGCTAGGGCTATAAATGCTGATCTCATAAAGGACAATGCATCAATGAGTGATAATGGTGAAACATTTTGTGCCAGTAAGAGGTGATTTCACAATTTTAAAGCTAGAACTGTGGTTGATAGCATAACAAAGCATGGTGAAGCAGCCAGTTCTGATAAATGGGCTACTGAAAATTACATACACCACTTCCAAATGATGACACAGAGAAATGGCTTTTGCTCTCATTAAGTTTTTGAATGTGATAAACCTGGTCTTTTCTGGAAGAAAATTCCCAGGAGAACATACATTACCCAGGAAGAGAAGAAAATGACAGGCCACAAGCCTATGAAGGATAGGCTAACCTTATTGCTATGAGCCAATGTGAGTGGTGACCTCAAGATACAACCTCTCTTGTTTTATCACTCTGAGACTCCTACACTATTCAGAAAACATAAAGTTATAAAGAATAGGCTACAATGTCATGTGGAGATCTAACAAAAATGCCTGAGTAGCAAGAATACTTTTTCTTGAGTGGATCAGGGAATTTTTCTGTCCTACTATTAAGAAATATCTAGAGGACAAAGGTTTACCACTCAAGGCTCTCCTCATCATAGACAAAGCGCCTGTTCACCCATGTGATTTGGAAGAAGAATTGGCTGAAGAATTCCCATGGCTCTCAGTTGAGTTCCTCCTACTTAATACAACTCCCCTACTGCAGCCTGTGGACCAGTAGATTATAGCTGACTTTAAGAACTATACACAAGGAACTATTCCTGAAGTGCATCCAGATGGTCTCAGATACAGATTTAGCCCTTAAAGAGTTCTGAAAGGAACATTACAACATCCCTTCCTGTGTGTGGTTAATTTAAAAATCCTGGGCCAATGTCTCTCTATGGACATTGAGATCTGCCTGGAAGAAATTGTGGCCTAAAATTATACAGGAGTGAGACTTTGAAGGCTGTGTAGAGGAGCCTGGGCCTTCAGTTGACACTGTATTTGATCACATTGTCACTATATTAGAGTCCATAGACTTGCAGGTAGACAGTGGTGATGTTGAGGAACTGGTGGAGGAATACTCAGGGGAATTGTCTACAGAGGAAGTTGCTCAGCAACTTCTGGCTGAGCAAACAAGAATGGCAGCTGAGGAGCTTTCTGAAGAGGAGGGGAGTGTCAACAATCAGTGCAGCAAGTTCTTCCTCTGAAATAAAGGAAATCCTGAAAAACTGGACAGAGCTACAAACATTTGTAGAGAAGACCCACCCAGGCAGAGAAAGAAACAATCATAACATTCACTTGCTTAATGACAATGTCAAGTCATACTACAGAATAGTTAAAGACAAGACAGAAACAGCCTTAGACTAGTTTTCAGTTCTGAAAAGATTGACACTTAGTGAGCCAGAAGCAGGTTCTAGTGGACTACAGACTCTCCCAAGGAGAGAAAAGACACCAGAGATCCAGATTCTTGATGTTCTTATGGAAGGAGACTCTCTTTCCAAATAATAACCACTTTCCATTTCATCCTTCCTTCCTGAAACCCAAAGATGTCAACTTGAATGGTGAGTGTAGTAGGAAATTGTTGTTTCTGGTAAATTATGCACATTTTGTAACTTTTTGGTGAATACACTAGAAAAATTATTGGTCTTTCTGCTAAATTATGTACATACCACCCCTTTTATTATTAAAAGGTTAAGAGGTGCTTAGGGAGGTTCACAATGCATTATGAGTATTTCCATTATTTCTTATGGGAAAAATAGTCTTGAGTTACAACCAACTTGAATTATAACCAGCCCTTGTAAACAATTATGTCATAAATTAAGGGTTCACTGTAGTCCCTTTTAAATGGACAATAAGTCACCAAATCATGTATTTTTAAAATAATTTATGCATGTATAATTTTGTTAGCTATTGCTGAGTTGCTTTCCATAAGTGTTTATCAATTGATACTCATATCAAGAGATGTAAGCATACTTTCCCCCCACAGATTTGCCATAATGCAGAATTTATATTGGATTGTTTGGTCTTCTTGATGATTTCTAAGAACCTTTGATATATCATATTTTCTTCCATGGTAAGAATTGAATTTTTCCCTATTTTGTTGATTTTCTTTTTACTTTGCTTTAGTGTTTGTTTTATGTTATTTTAATTTTGTACTGGGGATTGAACTCAGGACTTTGTGCTTGCACTTGCGAGGCAGGCGGTGGCACCACTGAGCTAAATTCTGGGCTGTTGTTTTATATTTCCCAGTCAGTCAGAAACCTCTATTTTTCCTTGTACAATTTAATTTCTCAATCTTCTTCTTATGGCTTCTAGATCTTTTCATAGTCATAAAGATCTTCTCTACTCCAAGATTATACATGTTCTGCTGCACTTTCTTCTATTACATTTATAGTTTCAATTTTATATTTAAATTGCTGATCCCTTTTGGAGTTTACACAGTGTATGATGAGAAGTATGAATTAAAACTTATTTTTTTCTATATGGCTACTTTCCCAATATCATTTAATGAAAATTTTATTCTTTGTCATTAATTTGAGATGCATCTTAGATTATTTCATCTATTCCATTGATTTGTCTGCCTGTTCATATGCCAGTTTGATTATTGAAGTTTTAGTAATATATCATCTGGGAGGGATAGTCTATCCTTATTGCTATTTATTTTTAAATTTTTCCTAGTAGTTCTTTTGTTTTGTTTTCATTCAAACATTAGAATGACTTTGTCGAGTTTCAGGAACATATTAAATCTATAAATCACTTCAGCATGTGCTGATGTCTTTTGCAGTTATTGAGGTTTATCTAAGAAAATGATATGACTTTGTATTTGTTCATACCTTTTCTATTCCCTTCAGAAGTACTTTACAGTTTTCTTTATATATCTTTCATATTTGCAAAATATATTTTAAGGTTTTTATATTTATTTGTTCCTACAGAAAATGGGATTTCTGTTGTAGCATCTACATTTATAAGCTGTTTGTTATATGTCAAATATAGTGATAAACACAAAGTACAACACAGAACAAAACAGAAAAGATTACTGACCCTCATGAAGCCTATGGCACTGACAAAGCAATGCTATAAGTAGATAATCACTACAATAACCATGTAATTACCATAATAATAAAGCCCACAAGGGCAAGTACTGTAATTGAGTATAATTGAAACATGATTTAGAATGGGAACTTCAGATAGTTCACTGAAGACATGCTATATTAAGGTCAAAATGACATGGATAAACCTGTCAAATAACATGGATAATTAGTAATACCTGAAAACTTCTTTCATGTTCAGCATGATACCAACTTACAGTGTGTTTTTATATATTTGAGTCTAAATTCTTAAAATAATTAGATATTCAAAGAACAAAAATCTGGGTTACATACTGTCAGTACTCTTCAAAATGCCAGGTTTTAGAAATGATCATCTCAAAATGAAGCACCTCACCTTCTACTAAGGTTACCAGATAAAGAATATACTTATTTAAAAAAATCATTTGTTGTGTATATAAAGTTCAAATTTTACTGATTTCTACATTTTCAGTTCCTAAATCTGACAACCTTAAACTATCACTGAGAAGTAAAAATAAGAACAAATTTTTATATAAGAAAAGCAAAGATATAGAAAACAGTGAAAAGGCATAAATTTTAATATATATTAAAATTAAGCATAGAATGTGCCTCTTTGCAAAATATTCTCACTCTTTAGTTATGTCTGTTGTTTTCCTGTGTTGTTAAGGATACTTATAGAAAATATTTCAATAATAGGTAATAACTTAAAAAAGGAATCCCTAAGGTGTGTGTTTATGTGTGTGTGTGTGTGTGTGTGTGTTTGTGTGTGTAAGCACCAAATTTAGGGAGAAATATAAGGAAAATGAGATGAAATGTTAAAATAAATAAGTAAAACCCAAGAAATTTATAAATTTTCTTAAACCATCCTCTTCTACATAGTAACCTCACTGATTGTGTCCTGGCTCATTAACAAGAGTAGAAAACACCTGTAGGGGGCCAATATTGATGGAAGGCATGAGGAGATGTCTTCAGACTATTTCTATTAAGAGCATATTTGTTTCTTGATGCATAAAGCACCATCATAGGTATCATGGAAAATGAAACCAAGAGTTAAGAGCTTGTATGTGTTGTATTTGTAAAAAGAGACCACAGGGAAAAGGTGAGGCAGAGAAATTGATAAGGGTAGAGGAGACTGAAGCAGTGAAGAAAAGGGAGATAAATATGGCTGATTTAGAAACTGGATCAGGAATTAAACCAGGCATGTGATTCTATGGGGTGGGACAACCTCCAACAAGCCCACAGCATTTTTTTGCTGGGCCAAAGAGGCAAATTCAGACCACTTGGCTAAAGCTGGCTTCCCTCTAGGAAAGTCTGAATTAAGAGAATTTTTTTCAATAAAATGTAATTTTTATGTTCTTAAGTATATTAGTACATGGACTTCCATAATCATGTAAAAGAATATGTTCTCTAACACAATAAATCTTGTTTACCCTCATAATTTACTTAACATTTTTCACTGATAGGGTCAAAATTAACTGTAGTCCAACCTTATCCAAAACAGTTTTATTAGAGCAATGCAGTTCAGTGTTTTCCTCTGCTTTCCGGCTCTCTTGCTGGCACAGGCCACGGTCACAATCTCGCTGCTTGACACAGCTCCAGTGAAACCGAGACTATGGCTGAAACCCATGACTCCGTCTTTTGCTTTCGCTTTCCTCGGTGGTGATTACCTCGGTGCTGTACTCCCCAGGAAATCACTGAAAGGATAAAAGTCATTATTTCAGAAATGGTTACTAGGCCGGGATTACAGGAAGAAATTGTAAATCCATTTACAGAAAAGCCCCTCACTCATACCTGCATGAGTAGTGGGGATGTGACATCCATATGCCCTGATTGTACAAAGGGAAATTGGGACATCAACAAATTCATGACGCAGTTACGGCTCTTGGAAATGCTGGGTACTTCCAAGACTCAAACAAATGGTGAGGCCCTGACTACTTTAAGCCCACAAATATTTGCAGCAAAACAGGGATCTCAGTCCATAGAAAATAAAGGAAAGTATGGGCCTGTCCCAACGGCTGAGCCCCCTCCCAATGTAGCTTATAGGTGGAACATTATGATACCCACCAAAAGGAACAAATTCCATACAGCATTTACCCAGATTAGATTTACCCCTCCCATATGACAAATATTGCTTACGAGAGAAGTTAAGGAAAGATGAACAAAAGAAAGGAAAAAATAAGGCGCCCCACTGTCTGGCACCTGGTCACCCTTGGCCAACACCCATGGGGCACACAACAATATCTGACAAAACTTGGCCTAATGAGGTAGCCTGACCTTTCTAAAATGCTTCTTGTTCCTCGAATGTAAATCTGATAAGTTAGCAAGAGTTCACGTAGCACCCGGAGGAGTATTTAGAACTGGGTGGTCTAAAATAGTTTTTAGGTGATATCAGCTTTTCTTTAACTCTGTATGAAGACACACTGTGTATGGACCCATGTGCTTACCAAAGCCTTGTGTAACCAAAACGTATATAAGTAAAGTGATTTTGGTATAACTCAGACAGACAAGCTGAGCTGCTGACCCTCCACTCAGTGTCTATTTCATTCTCTTGTCGCCGACTCCACACCTCCTCACAGGACCTAAACCCGCTGGAGCTGGACTCCGGCATCTTGCTCTCCCTTTTTTTATTCTAAAACGTAGTTATACTCTATTTCACCACTTCTAAGCCTAACCATCCTCTTCTCTGACTCAGCTGTACTTGGGCTACCCCAGAACAAAGTTAAGCATGGAGTCCTTTAAAGAATGGAGAGAAGTCTTTCCTTTCGCCTACCCCTTCCACTTCCCCTTCCCCTTTGCACCTTTTCTTCCTATTTCACATTATCTATTATACCTTTTAGTCCTTATTTACACTTTCAGTTTCTCACACTAGAGAAACTATTTGGTATTTACACATGTGTGTCCTATTTATTTCACTTAAGAGTATGGCCTCAATGTGCATCCATTTAGCTGTAAATGTCTCTCATTCTTTTCTTTTCTTTGTTTCTTTCTTTTTTTTTTTTTTGTGGTACCAGGGATCGAAAATGTCTTTCATTCTTATGCAGAGGAAAGGAAAGAAGGGAGAGAAATAAATATGAGAAAAGGAAAAAATGGAAACAAAGTCATTGTAAATAGGGAGGGGTGGAGGGGTTGAAGGAAGGGCAGGGGAATGGGGAAAAAATAAGAACCAAGATATATTATGTAAAGGTACAAATTTCCAATAATGAATGTCAGCATATTGTATACCTAAGATGTACCAATAAAATTAATGAATGAAAAATAAAAGAATAGAGAGAAATGATACCTGGTTTAAAAAGTCATAACAGCATGTGGTTAAGGTATTTACCAGACTCTCCTGCTGGTTCTCTCCTCCTGGCTACTTGGAATTGAAATTCTCTTTGGTTGGAAATTCTTTCCCCAGATATTACTTAGAATCCCTAAAGTCAAACACATTTTTGATTCAGGAATTTTGGGAAGTCAATATTTTCGAAGTCCCTTCCAGTAGGGGGAATGACTGTTTGCCTCCTTTCATCCAGAAGAGCTAGAGCCAGACACAACACCTCAGGCTGATGAGAGATGCTGAAGCTAAGGACTTATTAAAGATCTTCGTATGCCATCTCTAATGGGTAGTAGTTGCCTGGAGTATGCCAGGAGGAAGATTCCAAAGCATACCCCATTTGCATGAGATCTTCCAAGACATGACACATGTCTTCTGTAGACATTGAAGAGAAGGGACAGAAAGTGGGCTAGTGATGTGCTTTATAAGTCACAAGACTCTACCGGTTGGAGAAAAAAATGAGATTCTAGTATTCACACAGAAACAGAAAATAGGAAGGAGCTATGTCCCACTGACAGGGTATCTGCCCACTTTAGAGGAGGGCCCAGACTCTGAGGACAGAATCATTTTGACTTTTGACTTGGCACATATCTAAAGAGGGACATTTGATTAAAAGAGAAAAAAAATTCTTCTTTATAGGTTCCTGGTGCACAGAGCAATCAAACTAGGGGAAGAGAAATTTTTAGTTATTGAAATTAAGGAAGCCTGCCCCAAGCCAAGACTTTCCACTCCTGTAACAGTTTATGATAATTATGTGGGAAAAATCTACAAAGATGAAAGCAATAAAATCCCTAGTGTCACATGCTGCCCCCTCTTCTCTTCCTTGCTACCATTTGAAGACCTGTGCAAATGTTTGCTTATTGACTTCTCACCTCTGTAGTGTTTCCATTTTCTCTTGGTGCCATTCTCTTCAAATAGAATATATATTACTTAATAAAAGAATGAACAAAAATATCAGGATTTTTTAAAATTTGCAAATTCTAATAAAGAGTAGTGCTCCCTCCAGGCATGGGGCACCAATCTCTGAAATCAGGAATTGGGCTTGCACCTATGACTGATTCTATTGAAATACCACACCATTAATTCAACACAAAGTTATTGTGTGGGTGCAGCTGGTATGGATTGAACTCCAACAACAACACCAAAGCACCACACACTTAGCCCAATCCTCTTGCCACATGGCATCTGTAGTAAGAGGCAGTTGACAAATCACTGGATCTTTTTTCACATGCTGTGCTAATCAGTGTACTCAGTTACTCAGTTACTCAACTCAGTTGAAATCACAGCCATTTCAACACATTTGTTGGAAAGAAAATATGTGTTAAATATCTTTTTTCATTATGAGTTCTCATTTGTTCTTTTGCATTCTTTTAGGATTTCAACATGCTTTGGAGTGTGCAGCAAGGGAAAGAATGAAGAGGAAAAGGTAGAGACTTCATTTGATGCTGAAATCCATCATTGCTGAGTCAGCTAAATCATGCCATAAGTGGATCAAATACATCTCTTTATGGTATAATAGAGTCAGGACTGAGCTTAAAGACCCTGGAAAGTGATAACACAAGAATCACTTGTGAGTATTCAGACTCTGAAGGGCTCTTTTGAGATCCATAGAGTGACTTGAAAAAGAAAGAATCTACTACATGGTTAAAGCAAGAAGAAAAAAAAAGAGATTTGATCACAAATCCTGAAGCACAGATTTGATTTACAGGGACAAACCAAATGTGTGGAGAGATTTTAGGGCTTGAATTTTGGGAATTAGTTTGGAGGTTTTGCCTTTATCTGGCAATTCAAAAACACAATACTACAAATTTATAGGCAAAAGTGCATAAATAGTTTATGTTCTATATTTCTAAATTCTATATTTCTTTAGACTTCTAAACTAACTGTAATCCCTGGAGTCTAATAGTGTCAAATTCTGCTTCAAGTCAAGCAATGGGAGAGGTCTCCTAACTTCTGTCACACTTTTCACAGAAAAAATCTGTACTAACCACTCCCCAGATCTACTTTGCCTCTCCACAAACCAGATACATAACCCTAGAGTTAATCTCTTAGAATGTAAAATTAAGGGCAACTTCAAAGATTTTCCAAGGATTTTATTCAGCTATTACTTTCAGGTATCACTTGTAGATGCAGAGAATACATTGCATAACTCCATTCTAAATAAAGTCAGATCATCATAAACATCATAGTGTCTGGCCCATATTTGATGCCTATTATGCTTATTACAATAGCAATGACCATAATACTCATTATTTTATGAGAATGCCACTATAGCGTGAAAAGTTACCAGTTCATTTTGTAAATTTGAGACCGAAAACTTGTATTTTTTAAAGAATCTCATAGAGTTAGATAGAATAAAATCAGCTGTCACCTTGCATGACAAGCTAACCCATCCAGTGCTATTCAACCTCAGCAATGTAAATTTATGTCACATTAAAAGTGACTCCACTAGGGGCTGGGGATTTAGCTCAGTGGTTGCACCGCCTGCCTTGCAAGCAGAAGGATCCGAGTTCGATCCCCGGTACCAAAAAAAAAAAAAAAGTGACTCCACTAAACCAGTGTCAGGGCTTGAAAGTGGCTTTGGCCTTGCTTATTTTCCCCTCTATCTAATTGTATCAGAACTATGTCAAAAATGAAACACCTTTTAGGGTAAAATAGAATAAGAACAATGTCAACAATTGTATACATACAGAGATGTCAACTAAATTTAGGAAAACAAAATGAAAACCAAATAGCTATGGTCAGCTAGGGAGAAGGGATCATGTCCCTAAGGATACTTCCCTTATGGGGATGGAAATTTGAACATTAGTCATGCTACAGTGAAGCCAGAATGAAAAGGGCAGAGAGTTTTCAGGTGAGGAGCATGGTATCCAACTCTCTGGAGATGAGTGAATGTGTCCACTAAAGAATGGTTTCCATTCTACTTAATATTTTCTGGCTGAAGGAGACAAGTGTTTGGAACTTCTAAATGAAAACATAAAGAGGAGCCTTCCTTGTTTGCATTTAGCAACCTCCCAGAACAATAAGAAGGGATTCTCATCCTGTAGTAGGTGCTCCACTCAGCAGAGACAAGGGAATCCCTGTCAGCAGATTTCAGGCTCTGCTGACACTGAAAGCAGCATAGCCTCCTCTGGGCCATGACCATTAATGTGACAACAGAAAAGGGCAATGCAATCCAATACTGGAGGCACTATAACATACCTCTTTGTGACTCAAAGAAATAGTCTGAGGAAAGTTCTAGAGGGCCAGAGTTCTCATGTAATAGGATTTTTTAAAATGAATTTTATTGGTACATTTTAGGTATATAATGGCATTCATCATTAGAGACTTGCACCTTGACATAATCTCTCGCTTATTTTTTAGCCATTCCCCTGCCCTCCC